CTTTTTGAAATAATTTCCTTAAAAGGTTTTTCTTCATGGGCCTTCAGGTTAACCTTAGTTCTCGTCCCTAATAGGCACTGAGCGAACTACTAAAATGTATTTATTTTATGAATAAAATAACAGTAATTGTCTTACCAGCTTCCTGAGTTCCTGGTGATGGCTGGTTTCATTTTTATTCATTTTTTAGTGTGATGTGTTCCTTCATCTTTAAAGATATCTCACAGCAGTTAGTGAGAAATTCTTTATCGCTGTCAAATTGATGTCTTGAGATAACTAATCCTTGAAAAAGGAATAAGTTACTTTTGACTTTCATAGAAACTACTGTGTATAGTACTCGTCAAGATTTGTGATACTTTTTGACCCACACATTTAGGTTCAAATTAATAATTGGTGGCCAAAGTACCAGAATTAATATCAGAGTCTAGCCATTTTCTAGACCTATACAGGTCATTAGAAGTAAAACTTACTGATTTTTATATAGCCATATTCATTTTATAGTGATTAATAGATTTATTTAAATTAATTTTATATCCCTTTACTGAAAGTTTTTAAGAGAAAAGATCATTGAGCATGTGTTTTCTTTTATGTTATGATTTGTTCAGTAAACAGTGACCTATTGTATTTGACATTTCTTTTTTTTTTCCTTTGAGTTGGATTCTCACTTTGTTGCACAGACTGGATTGCAGTAGAATGATCATGGTTTACTGTAACTTCTATCTCGTAGGCTCAGGCAGTCCTTTTGATTCAGCCGCCTTAGTAGCTGGGACTACAGGCATGCACCACCACACCTGGCTAATTTTTTTTATTTTTTAGAGGTGTGATCTCACTGTGTTGCCCATGCTGTTCTCAAACTCCTGGCCTCAAGCAGTCTTCTCACTTTGGCCTCCCAAAGTGCTGGGATTATAGGTGTGAGTCATACACCCAGCTATTAAATATATTTCATCTGAAAATTTTATCCTAAACATAACACCCTACTAATATGTTTCATAAAATGTAGTAAAATATTTTCAAGATAGCACTGTTGAAAATCAGAAGGCAGAGGTGTGATTTTTAAGTAAAAGACCTCAATTTTAAGTAAAAGGAGCCTGATTAGAGGACTGGCTGCCTTTTATTAATAACAATTAAAAAGCATCTTTTTAATTCCTACTCATTCCCACTCCTGCAAATAAAAAGTTTTGTCCATCTAGCTGTTAGTGCTGCCATCATAATTTCATTAGTGTGGCTTCTTTACACACTTTCTCCAGTGACGCAAATACAGACGTGATTTTTTGGAACATCAGACTTATGGCTGCCTTCTGTCTTCTTCATTACTTATGTTGGACAAACTGCCATTTTTACTTGCCAAAAAAAATCCCACAGTTCAGTAGACTTCAGTTTTGAGGTCTCTCATGTACTCCTTAGACCACCAGTAGCTTTGTCTCTTGACGATCAGAAATTGGACACTTCTTTCTGATGTTTAACAAACCAGATTCTGTTACTTGACCTCTAAGGAAGTATATAGCAAAACAAATGTTCTAAGCAACATCACTGGAAACAACAGCAAATCCCTTTGGAAGGCAGTCTTTGTAACACAGGCCAAATTATTCTTTCTTATCAAGCTTTATGAGATTTGTATTAAGGTGGCGATAACAAGTCTCTAACAGAGTAAGATATTAGAAGTTATATTTTCTTTTACCTATGTCCAGTAGAGAAATGACTAAAGACACCATTCTTGGGGTATGTCTTGTACTGTAAGCAGATCCAAGAAGCTAAGGTTCAACTGGGGAGCTTCTGGGTTTATGTTTCTTATTATTTTTTTACTATAACCAATTCCATGAAACTAATGTTAAAATAAGGAGCTTATCTGATTCCTCCAACTTCCCTGTTCCCAGTTCTTCCCATCCCACCCACTGCTTCCCGTCACTTTCACCCTAAACACACTATATTTTAGGAAAATTTTTTTTCAACTTTGTTTCTTCTACCTCTGCTTACCCGGCTTTGTAAATTGTTTGTATAACCTTTGCAGTGATGTCCTGTGGATTATACTAAAGTATAATAAATAAGTCATGTAGTCGAGTTTGCAGAAAGACCTTATACCATCAAACCATAGTTAATATAAGTTGGCCGTTTTTGAAGAGGTAGGACAGTAGCTCTGCTCTTTTCCCTTTTCTCCTAGCACTTCTGTCTGTCTGTGTGAAATGTTCCAAACTCAGTTTCTCCTCTTCTATGGCATTTAATTATCAAGTCCAGCTTTCTCCTCTACTATAAAAATTAATTTTATTATTAAATTTTATTTTTAAATATATTTTATTCAAGTCTTAGTTTTAGGTAATATATATTTTAAGTGATACTAGTTTTAATCTCTTGCTTTATTCCAAATGTAAGAGTGCACATTGTATGCCCCTAAGCAAGTGGATTTTTTTTATCTTGTATTTGTCTTAAACTTTTTATTAGCTACCAAAAAGCCCAAACTTCTATGTCCCACCCTCTTCGTCTTCCAAACCTATAATAATTCACTCTTCAGAATACCTTAAAGATTGACTCGTGGAACAATATTGCTCTTATGGGTATGATTTTGAAGAGAATTGTGTGATGGTGCTACTCATATTCATCCATCTAATATTTGGAATGTACTTAAGTATCCAGTTTTGTCGAGTCTGAATAGGTTACTAATTTTACTAATTTAGAATATCTTATTTACTATTTTACTAATTTATAATAAAAACGCACGGTTGTGATGATAGATACATAAATGGGCCGCAAGAGAGTATCTTCTGAATAACCTGTAAACTTGAAGGACTTTGCTTTCCCAACCTCATTTAACCCAGCAGTTTGTAAGAGGGGACATCAGTATTTTCTCCTCCCTAGACAAGTGATTATGACTCTTTCTATAACTGTCTTTTCTGGACAGTTCTTTTAAGACGTAAGTGAGAATTTCATTTTTTGAAATAAAATTTTCTGATTTATAAATGAAGATTGTAGTTAATAATTATCTGACTTAATGTGGTGCAAGATCTGTGAGATACAAGATACTATGAGAAATAAGCGGTCCTTAACTTTAAAGACTTTTCATACTAAATTTGTAATAAATTTAGCTCTCAAGGATTGAAAGTGGCAGGAAGCTGCGGGGAGGGGGGGGCATTGACAGTAGACGATATCTGTCTGGGGAAGGAGGGGCACACCTCAACAATAAGGGTGACTGCAAGGTGAATATTTGTATACCTAGCCCTGAATTGTACCCCACAGTTGTAAATTAAAATTAAAAGAGGAAAAAATTTTTTTTAAATGTAACTCTCATGTTTGTACATATGCATGCCTGTACTTAAACTCAGATTTTATTGGGAAATGTGAGCTAAAATCACCATTGTGGGGGAAAGGGAATATCTGGACAAGCATATATTCTTAAAAAATTTGTTTGAGACAAGCTTATATATAAGATTATTTAAAGATTTGTATATATGTCTAAGTCTTTTTGCATTTCATTTTAAACAAATGCCTGTCTCATCTTCAAGATGTGTATTTCAAGATTGCTAAGGGAAAGGATTTTGAAAGTTCTCACCACAAAGAAATAATAAATAATTAAGGTCATGATATGCTAATTAGCCTGATTTGATCATTCCACAATGTATACATGTATGGAATCATCATATTATACCATAATATTTATACAATTATTACTTGTCAATTAAAAATAAAACTAAAAGTGTCACACTGGCTAGTGGCAAGGAAAGAGTGTACCAGCATTAGAGAGGTGATTGGGCTTTTTCCTGGGTGTACCTGACTCAGCTTGCCTTTTATGCCACATGGAGTGAGAGAGGGTCCCATTCAGTGACCCACCTCTTTTTAAGGTGATATATTCAAGACCCTCAAATTGAACATATCGGATGAGTGTTTCCTTATCCCTGGGATTCTGTGGAGAAGGGGAGTTGGCAGAGATTCCATTGCGTCCTCTCCCCTTAGAGCTTTACCAAGTGTACTTTCTGTATGTTTATTTACACATCAAATCAGTTCCCTTTGCAAGAAATTTATATTCTGTCATATTCTTTTCTTACTGTTCTGATATTCTTAACCTGAGCTCTGAAATTCATTCATTCCTTTTTTTTTTTTAGTTGGAATCTCATTCTTTCACCCAGGCTGTAGTAAAGTGGTACGATTACAGCTCACTGCAACCTCAATCTCCTAGGCTCAGGTGATCCTTTCACCTCAGCCACCCAAGTAATTGGTACTACAGTCATGTGCCACCACACCCGGCTAATTTTTTAATATTTTTTATTGAGACGAGGTCTCGCGGTGTTGCCCAGGCAGGTCTTGAACTCCTGACCTCAAGCTATCCTCCCACTTTGGCCTCCTAAAGTGCTGGGATCACAAGCGTGAGCCACCACGCTTGGCCAACATATTCTTAATGTTTGTGCAATTTACATACTCCTGGAATTATCCTAGTTATTTGTTCTGGTGTTGAGAAAATGAGTAATATAGTCTTAGGAGGGTTCTTGCATTCTGTTTGACCTAGTGCCTAAAGTATGCAAATGGGTTGGACCATTTGCTTGTACCATTTGCTTATTAAAAGAAATTAATGTAGCTATACTTAAGAGTAGAAAGCTCTGAGATCTGTATTTGAAAAGATACTTATTCATATTAGGTATTCAATGTATCACTCCAGCTGGTGTTTTAATCATTTGCGTTATCACAGTTTTCTCTGTTTTTTGGAGATAAAAGAAGAGTGAGATTATGATCTCTACCTTCTGTACAAAATAATTAGTAATGAATGAGCTCAAATTATTTAATTTGGGCTTATGTGGTATTGGATAGCACTGATTCTGTTGTCAGTATAAAATGTGTACCTTATTAGGTTATTCAAGTGCTGTGCACATACTAATATAAAAGTAAAATAACTATTTAAGTAACAAGGTCTTGTTTTAGGTGGTATGTGTATGCATATAAAGGTCTTGTTTTAGGTGGTATGTGTATGCATATAAAGGAAGAATTTTTAATGATTGAATTATCTTGTGTCCTTGGCTTAGGGAGTTCCAGTGATGGCAATAAGGAACAAAATGATATCGGAAGGACTAGACCCGGATCTCCTTGAGTAAGTAATTCTTCTAATATGACGATACTACTGACAAGATATTGAATTTGTCAGTTACACTGAAAATATTTCAAATTCTTTATATTTTTTTCCTCAACAGTGTTTCATGGTTGAAATCACCTTTATAAATAGAGTTTCTGCTATGTTTCCAGAAAGAAAAATATCCTATGTTTCTAAAACCAGCCTTTGCACATTTTAGGAGCAGCTTCAGCAGATCAGTGACAACTCTAAATATCCAAAGGAACTAGAATTTGATGGCAGTTTTTTCTTCTTTTCATGCTACCTTTTTTGTTTTGAGGGGAGGAGGGGAGTTAGGGGGTTATTATCTATCGGGTTTTCATTTAAGACCTGGAGTGTAGGAAATTTATTCTACCATGATGTAGGTTAAGCCAGATTGAGAAATAAATAGGGTAAAGTTACCCTAGGTCCACATTAAAAGGTTATTAAGAAATTAGATACCCGTTTGTGTGAATTTTATAAAATATTTTTTGAGAAATGCTAAAAAATTATGACTTAGAAGTTTGACAATAATTCATTCCATCCAAGTAAAACTGGCTACATGGTTCATCCTGGATAAAATATATTTTAATGGATTCTTCAGAAGTATTCTGTTTTGCAAGTATCTAGATACTTGTAAAGAGTCTTTCCAGTTTGGGGCTTTAGTTCACCCCAATGTATTTCGCTATGTCATCCAAGTATTCATACTGTGTTAGCAATATACTTGGGGATTTTTCTTGGCTATTAGCCCTTCAAGAAAAGGTATACATTTTGAAGGTTAAACACCATAAAACAGTATTTTACTCATATTTTATCTTCTAAAATATAAAATTTTAATGTCTGCACGAATGCGTTTTCAATTTGTATCTACATCTGGTATATATCCAAGTAGCAAACAGTTCAAATACAATGGCATGGCTTAGTAATTTGAACTACAGCCTCTCCAGGATATTTGGCATGTGTCCTGGAAATTGTTTCTGACACGCCCTTCAATAGCAGATGGATTGTGACATATATTTTAATGTGAATTGGACATATGGGTTTAATCTATTTTGGCACTCATTGGAATATGTAAGTTATAAATATATTTAACATTAACCATGACCTCTTTCTTGCTTCTGGAAATACACAGTTACACCTTCTGTAATAACCAGAGAGCTAAAGTGACCTTTAAAATGATGGTATTTCTCTAAGATAAAACCTGCACCCTATGGGTCCCACCATATGCTGGACACCCAGCCCTTCTCCCCTCTACTGACTTCATTTCCTCCCCTGCCCAGCCTAGACCTACTTTATAACCCTTCACTTCAGCCAGCTGTCCACACTAGCAACTGTCCACACTAGCAACTTCAGCCAGCTGTCCACACTAGCAACCCTTCACTTCAACCAGCTGTCCACCCTTTGTTCTGCCCTTTCCCTACCCCCACTATATCTATCACTGTGATTTTCTCATTTTTAATGTCTCTCACATCTTACCACGGGCATCCATACCCACTGCTGCTTAGTTCAGGCCCTCAGCATTTCTCACCTGAATCATTACAGTAGCTCTTGCTTGGTTCTCCTGTTTTCTTTCAAGCCATCCACTAAGGCCTGAGTGCATCTGTTCTTGCTTCATTTTTGCTTCACATCTCCCTGTGACTCTCCACTGGGTCTTCGACATGTGGTCTAACATCTCAGCATTGCATATCAACATTTTATCATCAGGACCCAGATTCTCTCACTAGTTTCATCTCTTGCGGTTCTTCCACATATGTCTGTCTCGTGCAGCCATAGCAGACTACTTGGAGGTCCCTGAATGCATCATTTTCCTAATCCCTTTTGGTTTCTTTTCCTTTCTCTTTATGGAATTACCTTCTCCCATCTTATTGGCCTGGCAGATTTCCTTCTCCGTTAAGGATTGCCATCTGAAAAAGTCCAACAGGGATTAGCAGAGGGAAGACCCCAGGCACCCCCAACACTTCTTGTATCTCGCTTAGCCAGCTTGAGGGTATGTCACTGTCTACAAATGTTGAGAAACATTCCGCTGTGAGGTGGTGCCAAGTTTTAGGGTCGAATTCCAGGAGCAGTTAACACTGTCTTACAGAAAAGCTGCTCCTCAACCACAGCCTGGAGCCTGAATCCTGACCCATTGCCTCATAAGCACATGCCACTGGTCACCAGGGGCATTGCTTGGAGTGAGGTGACTCACTGCAGCCTGTCGTTGCTGCTAGCAAACCAGTTCCAGCTACATTTAGGTAGATAGGATAAGTGGAATCAACTACTTTGTAACAGAAATTCTGGCACTTTGGGCATCGTGTTTAAATGAAAGTTAAGGAGCTTCACTTTGAGAGAAAAGCATGCGATGGTGAAAGAGAAGTCAGTGTGCCATTCAAGGGAAGAGTGCACTCTTATTTAGAATCTTTGGTGCATAAGCCTCAGCCAAGAACTTTCAGTAGAGATTGTTCTGTTTTCTTTTTTCTTTTAAAGTATAAACACACACTTTCTTTTTTATTAGCTTTAGGTAGTAAGACAAACTCATATAAGTGTTAGAAGAAATAGCCTAGATCTGTCTGTACTGAGCAAAGGGAAAAACTGAGATTGATATACGAGTAATACTGATCATAAAATATATTGATATTTGTTTGGCTTGTGTGGATAAAAATTTGGAAGCTTAAGGATACACAGTTTTAAACTAAAAAAAATTTGCAAGATAACGGGGAAGAGAGCCTGGCTATTTTCCTAGAAAAATGACTACCGTAGAATTTTAGAAAGTCTAGAAAACTGAAGACAATGTCTGATAATTACTAAATAAATATTATGTTTGATTCTTCTAAGTGGTTGTTTAATTATTTTTAAAAATTCAGGTTTTTGAAAATAACAGTAGCTCTTTGTTTTATATAACCAAGAATTACTCTTGCTTTACTTCTCAAAATAAATATTAATACCACTGAGATAAAAAGGTGTGTTGAAGGATACCTTTCTCACCATCATACTCAAAAGAGTTTAAGGGGAAAGAAAATGGAAAATTTTCATTGCTCTTTTTTCAAAAGTTAATCTACTTTAGTTTTGCATTCAGAAATATAGAACAGGTAAATTGTGCCTTATAAAGTATTTCAATCAATGCCTAGATTCTCTTGCCAGGAAAAAGAGAAAAATAGTCCTGTTTTGTACTATTACATTTACGGGGGGGGGACACAATAAAGACTGGAATTATTTTTTGGAGAGCAGGCCTTTTGTAGTACAGGCTTCCCCTGCTAGGTAAATGTTCTAGGAACCCACTGGCGTCAGTGGACCAGCTAGCATTGTTCACTGTTATCAGAGGCTGTGTTCAGCTTCAATGGTCTTTTTTTTTTTTTTGTGATTCTTTCAACACATTTGCCTGTTTTCATGATGAGTGATTTATAAGTGCACCTGCCCACACTATGCTGGGTGTACTTTGACCAAAGACGGCATGACCCCCGTGTTCCAACCCACCCTCCCTATTCACCTGATCCCCCATCTACCCCATGACTTTTCTGTTTCCCTGGATGAAAAAAGTCCTTAAAGGGAAATGTTTTGCTGACGTAGAAAAGGTGAAAAAAGGCAAGCAAACAGCAACAACAAAAAACGGCAGAAGCACTGAAAGGCATCAAAACTGTTTTGAGCGATAGAAAGAACATTTCAATACACGTATTGCATCAAGCAGAGAGTACTTTAATAGTGACTGAAATCTCAACATGTAAGATTAAAACACAACTTTTTGTGAATACATCTCAGGATTTTGGGGGGTTCCCCTCCCCCCCAGTATGTCCCAGAACTAGGATTACTATTATTATGTAATAAAATTACTGCTTTTACAACTCTAGATGGACCAACCTCTGTACATGCCCATCAATAAGAAATGAACTTCATGACAAGCCTCAGGCTAAGGCAGGTTTTAGAGATGTTCTGCCTGCTTGGGTTCATGTTCTACTCTGTGACCTTCTGGCTGTGTGACCCTGGATCGATTACCTAACTTCTCTGTGCATCGGTTTCCTCATCAGTAAAGTGGGAAACAGAAGAGTCGACCCCCTCATAGAGTTGCTCAGACTTAGAATGATACTGATATAAGCACTTAGCACGGCTCTGGACAGGCAGTAAATGTTCAGCAGACATTAGCTGTGATTTATGAATGCTTTAGTGGAGAAATACGCAGCAAGTTCTAAACAACGGATTTAACAGGCTTTTGGATCACAGCTTGTTTACAGTTCTGTAGTTGCCTGTATATCATTATGTTCTCAACAAGACATATCTAGCATACACAGCGTCATTATCTTTTTAAATTATACTATGTTTTCTCAACTTAAACTTTTCAACATCACTGTAAAGAACAGACTTCTGAAATTAAAACTCAGCTAGTCACACTCTTAACCTTAGGGAGGGAGTACAGTATGCAGCATATTGATTTGACTAAATAAAGCATATGGTTGAGTTTAACTTACTGTGCAGGCCTTGAACAGAACCAGCTCAGTTGGCATTTGGAGACATCTACTCAAAAGACATTCATGCCATCCTCCCAGCCGGTGGAATGACCACTCTTATAGTTGCCAGAAATAAAAGTAACCACCTCATCCTACTTATCACTCAGACAAGAGGGGATTTGTTAGTGTTGAACAAAAGGATAATGGAAGGAAAACTTTCTTTTACAGGGCATGTCCAGCAGACTTTCTTGACCTCTGAGGCAATTGCTTATCTGCCAGTAACCTTTTCTTCCTGTTACACAACAACATAATGGATTAAAGGTTCAGTTTAGACTGGTTGAAGATAGATTAGGCCTCAATTGCACAACTGGACAGTTCCAGAAAATAGGATTTTTTACTGGTTCCCTTTTGTTAGTCTTTGCTGAGCTGGGTTCTCCATTTGATTTAGTTACCAGTTCTCATTCACTGACTGGCAGACACTGGCTGGAGAGTATAGGACAAGTAAAAACAATGTCAAAAACTTGCAAGCTCTACTCTTGGACACCCTCATCACCAGACTGAGATAATGAAAATAGCAGAGGTGAT